AGATCATAAAATTACACAAGCAGGAGGGTGTCTGGGTTACTCCAACCAACCAGATGAAACTAGAATCACCCGAGAAAATACTTTAAAAGTAATTTTATGGAAGAGGTGAGAAAAATAATATTGTATGATAATTCATCGAAGAGTGTTGTGCTAAAGGTCTGAAGCATATCTGCCTCTGCTATAATAATAATAATAAAAATAATAATAATAATAATAATAATAATATTCTTTTTATATAACTTATGCAGCTCATTATTCCCAGAGACAGACGCACCGGGAGAAGAAGTTATGCTGGGTTTGGGAAACAGACATGCTGAGGGGTTCTGCTGACACTAAGAAAAGCTGTAACTCGTAGAAGACAGAAAGATCTTTCTAGTGAAAAGTAAATATTAGAAAACTAAAAGAAAGCTGCCTGGGGTCGATAGCGTGTTTATTGCGGGAAATTCCAGCTGTTTTCGGCCCAAGATGCACTGCAGGCTGCCACTGTTTTGCCGTCTGTTTTCATGCTCCAGACAGCACACACATAATTATGTGGCGATGGAAAAAATATGAAACACCTCAGGTAACATGTCCCGTCTTCCTAGATCTTAGAAGAACAGAAAGGTGACGACTAGAGGTCCTATTGCCGTAATACGTGGGGTTTCTCATGCTGCAACCTTTCCTGAAGCTGAATGAACCTGGCCCTTGGGTCTGCCACGAGGAAGCACAAAGTTGGAGTTCTCTGGCCCCAACAACATTTCTGCTGGTCAGACAAGTCGAGTCTTTGGTGCTCAAAAGTTTACCAGGCTGCCGTCTGTGCCTGAACCATTCGATAATGGCGGGCCTCTCAATGTAGAGTACGCATTTAACCATGTGTAACTCGCCATTGTAGAACTGTCATGTGTTAGAAGCCTAAGTGTTAATAGTATATGACGTTCACGTCTCAGGGAATGTCAGGAAGAGGAACAAGGAATGAGACTCTGAGCAGACATTACATCGTGGGGCGTCTCTTAAGTCATCTCTGGCGATTTCAAAAACATTTATTAGAGTTTCACTGCTTCGCAAAAGTTGGGCTCTGAGACAGAAGACAGGGGCCTGAAGTCCTCTGGTGCTCTTTAATTCTCTCTCATTCAGCTTCCACTCTTATTATATTAAATAAGGAGTTGTTGACCCAGCTTTCGTGAAACCCCTCTCAGAAGCACCAGGAGCCCGCCTGTACCAGGATCCCTTCCTGGTTTTTGAGGAAACCTCAGATTTACGAAACCAAGTCTAAACTTCTTTTCTACCCAGGACAGTTCTTCCTGACTAATTGGCGGAACAGCTGATGCACATACTGCTGGCTTAACTTGGACCAGGAGCTGCTCTCTGCAGCATGCAGAATGGCTTTTGTCACAAAGCAGGTGCCGAGTGAAAGGAGGCAGCAGGGAGAAACTCTTTAACAGAAAGGCTGCCACGCAAGAGCCAAACGTGAAAAACCACAACAACAGTGTTGGCAGGACGAGGCAACATCTATTTGATGTTGTAAAAGGAGAGTGACTATTTCAAGCTTCTACCATTTTGGCCCTCTCTTCAAGTAGACCTGGCATTTTTGCACCTGTGCTCACCACATCTCAAGGGCACATATTTGTACCTGCCTTTCTGAGTGCTAGACACAAAGTTCTAGATCATCCAGGAAGACCTCTGGTCTACCTGCTCCCTCTCAGGTGTCACAGAGATTGAGGACTTGAAAGAAATGCTTTCGGGTGTGACATTTAATGGTAGACTGGTGAGACACGTGGTCCCATGTGACTGTAGCAGTGTGACACAAGTTAGTTCTAGGTCATACAGATCAGAGATGAAGGCAGACCGGGAGCTGACGGGCCACGCACTATGGCTGTGTAGAAATGCGTGTTGATGGACACATCCATCAACGGGGTGAACGAAGAGAATGAGGCCGCAGAGTGAAGAGCCGGAGACACAGCTTAGCTCATAGACCGCTTGCCTAGCATGCCCATTGCTTGCCTTTCAGCACCACACAAACTCAACATGGTGGTGCCTGCCTGGAATCCCATCATTTGGCACGTGCAGCCGTGAGGATCAGGAATTCAATGGCCCAGTCTGCTGTTCTGTGAGTTCATGGCTAGCCTAAACTAAAGACCAAAAGAATTCTATCTGAGCATAATGTCTAGAGTCTAGTCTAGATACAGAAGGCTAAAGAGTTACTTTAAGATAATACTCCCTGAAGTCTGGCTCTTTACTCATTCATGCAAGATTCGTTCTGGTCTGTTGACAACAATCAAGATTAAGGCAGACACATGCAACCACAGGTGTATTTTGTAACTGAAAGCATAGGCGAGCATAGCTACCACCTAATAGAAAGACGTTGTACTCAGAGATGGACCTGGGCTCCCACAACAGTCTGAGCCACATGGACACTGACATTACGATAACTGAACTTGTTAGAATGACTGACTGTTTGGGAGCGTGCTTGTGGTCACCTTTTATTTCCAAGACCTTCACTCACTTGACATCCGGTTATTAAGCAACAAGCCAACAAACTGTTCTCTGTCAGGTCAGCGATGTCTTGGGGGAAGGCGTGCAGAAAAGAGTCATGAAGAACCTCACATGGTGTTTGCAGGCTGCAGGTCTGAATCTCTTTGCTCTGTTTTCCAGTTTTCTTTTTGTGGGAAATCAATTTCATTTTTTATCTCTAGTCTCTTGCTGGATGATTTACAGTCACACAGTTCTTTCAGCACACACCGAGAACAACATTAGTAATACTAATTATGAACCCCAAATTCCTGGCCCTTAAATAATCGAAAAAGAAAAACTCGAAGGCATATAGACACAAACAACAGTCTGTCTTCATAATCTACATGGTTCGGGGAAACACACACAATATAAATCTTTAAATGCAAAGCAAGATCTGTTTTAGAAACAGATACATAAGGGAAATTAGCTTTTGTAGACCTCAAATGCCGGAAATAAGCTCTTGATCCCTGAGGGCAAACATTTTTGAGCTATGCTTCACCATATAATTACTATCGTTTTCTTAGTTAAACTTTCCCATTCCCAGCTGGCTGACTTTCTATAAAAACTCACTTTTATTCCTAATTACACCATTATCGAGATGAGAATCAGGTCTAATTAAATAAAAACACGAAAATAACTGTCATTCCCTTACCTGCTATCTTTGAAAGACGCCTCTGTAAAGAAAGATGGGCCTGGTCCACGGACTAGAAATAAAGGATGCTTGTCTCCATCCTGCATCTCCATTCACAGATGCTGATTTCTGTCATCTTTGCTTTTGTCTCAGATACACATACTCAGTGCCTACTCTGTTAATCAGCTACTACACGCAGGTACCATGGATATGCCAAGGGGCTAATTACAGGTCTGTTCTTGAAACAAATGAGGCAGAGCTAATCCCGCTGTAGTAGAGGTCCCACACAAGTATGTGAAAAACATTTCCGGGATTGGTGCAAAGCCTTTCCGTTCTGATCACTCATATAGCAGAGAATATGTAGAAGCATTCTCACACTCGATTGCCCTGTTCCTTTTCAGGAGACTCCAGATTGAATAGAAGAAGGAATGTGTGGCTTCCTGTTCACACTGAATGGTGCAAGCGCATAATGACAGTTCATCAGAATATGCATTGCTTGCACAGAAAATGTTCTTGACACAAGCTGGCATTGCAGCAGCAAATATAGAGAAAGGGGTCATGAACTCTGAAGGTTTGGATCTCGGGTGAGGAGAACTAGAAAGCTTCAGATGTTTGTAAGGGGTCTGACCATTAAATAGAAGGTAAGGTATATGTAGAGTGAGTACGTGTGTGTGTGTGTGTGTGTGTATGTGTGTGTGTGTGTGTGTGTGTGTGTGTATGCGTACATGCACAGGTATCTGTTTGTCTGTGAACATTCACGGGTGTTTCGGGAATGAAAATGGGAAAATTGGCAATGGAGGCCAGAAATGAAGTTAAATGAGGGCCAAGGACACACCATGAAGACTACCACAGGTGAGGCGTTCGCCAGTTTTGAAAACACCCTGACCTCTTTCCCTCATGACAAATGATGCGCTAACATTTAACACTACTTGTTTTGTCATTATTCGGCGTATGTGAATAATTTACAATAATTTGTTTCCAGATGCTGTAATGAGTATACAGAACCATGGCCTTCCTGGCCTCAAAGTGACTCCATCTGACCAGGCCAAACCCTCAGGGTTGGGGAAGGTCTTGGTCAATGGTCTCTTCGCGGCTGCACGTTGGAACCCAGCACACTGAGTTTCCAGTGCTAATTACCTATGTTTTGCCCAATGAGATGCACATCCAGGAACTCTAAAGTAAAGCCTAGCTATCTTCCCAATGAGCCCCCTGGAAAAAATGTTGAACAGTTGGCTTAGAAAATACCAGAATCAACTCTTCTTTAGAGTCTTAAAAATCCTCTTAGACTGATATTATCAAGTCATTATGATTTCTATTCCAATTAGTCAGAAGACTAAAGGAGTTTGCAATGCTCTGCAATTATTTAAATGTAAGCATATAAATATGAAAAATAAAACACATCAAGAACAAAATTTTGTTTGATTTAAATGTTTTCAAAAGAACCATTTACTATCCAATTTAACATTTCTCTGCTGTAATGATTTGATTTTACACAGGTATACAATTGTTAACCCAACAATTTGTCAATGCAATCTTTTATGTTTGTTAACAAAAAACACAGTCCATTTCCACAACAGGGATAGGTAATTTGAATATTTAAATTATGTGCTGAAACACTAGTGAATTGTATTCAGTATACTAAATTTTAAAAGGCAAGTATCAGCCGATCAAACAGTTGTGGGCATGTAGTAGCTACTTCCAAAGTAGTACCCACTGAGCAATCTTACCAGCCCAATGTATCTATTTGGATGTGAAGCACTTGACATCAATTTAGAAGTTTCCAAAGCTGTGGCATCTGTGTGTCTGACGTCCATTTTTATTTCTTAGGGAGGCTCGTGTAGGCTGCCCTGGAAACACAGTTCCCATCCAGTGGGCTTACCTGAATGACACTGTCCCCAGGACTCATGTCTGTGTACACAAAGACATCATAGGAGATCTCGGGAAAGGTTGGCGTGTTATCATTTGCATCCATCACCCGGATATTGACCACCACTGGTTTGCTTTCTTGCACACCATCAAATGCTGTTATCTGTGGGGGAACAGGACACGGGAGAGAAGTCACACAAACACAAGAGCAAGCACATTACCTTTACAAACAAATGCATTTTTAATGTGTTTTAAGAGTGTGCTCAGCTTTGTTGTTGCTAAAATGAAATAGTAAGACATGAATAACAAATATCCCAAATGTTTGAATGTGCTAAGAAGCAATTACTTAAGATTCCACATACAGTTACAAAATTTTTTAAAATCATGAGATATGAAAAGGTTTTAGAAGCTTAGGGCCAATGATACTGTTGACACTTAAACATTAACTGCGTTTTTGTTGTCTTTGAGACAGGACTTCCATGGTTCTGGCAGACCTCAAACTAGTTATGTACTTGAGCGTGACTTGAATTTGATCTTCTCAAACTCCTACTTCCATCTCCTTAGTACTGGGATTACAGGCATGCACCACCACACTGGCTCATGCAGTGATGGGGATTGAACCTAAAACCTTATGCATGCTGGGCCAAGTCCTCCACCAACTGAGCTCTATCCCCAGTCCCAGTTACAGTTTAATCCATAATGTATAAGTGAAAGTTCCTTCATGACTATATAATCTGCGTATAAGACAAGCTTTCACAATCGGCATTCATATGTTAGTTAGGAAGCTGAAGGTCCTAGAGAGGCAGTTCTTCCTATTAATATGCAAAATAATTACGTGACTGATTCATCAGCATTCATTACTCACGGTATCTTAGTTGCCTTATTAACAATTTAAAAGGACCGACCAGGCATCCGTTGGCCATCCTGCCCGAATGACTCCTAAAATCTACTGCCCAGCTAGGTAGTAATTGTCATATGCGGCATCATAGAAGCTGCAGTCACCCGCTCTGTGGGCTCTTCCGGGATAACCTCCTAAGGAAGACCCATACGTATGCCCTTGAGTCGTCCACTTTTCCCTTTGTTTATTGCTTTGTTTGGGAATTCGGTAGGACTGAACTTGCTTTCAGCTCCATGATGCTAAGTCTACGTACGTAGAAGTTTTTTGGAGCGTTTATATGCTCTCATGAGAACTAGCCGCAAACCGCAACTCTCATGACCTTCCTTGTTCCTCCTGGAAACGGAACCTGAGGCCTTTGTCTTGATGTTACTGACATTCCGGTGCAGACACTCTCTGTGCTGGGCTCCTGCGTGCGCTGCGGGATGGCCAGCCACCTCACTGAGTCCACTGGTGTAAGCCACGAGCACCATCTACACATCACCCATCACCGGGTGCTCTCTTGAGGGAGGATCACTGCGAGCTGAGGACCATCCGCCTCAGACAGCAGTGAAACTGAAACCCCAGCCATACCACAAAAGTCATAAAGAATGTTTCATTTGGCGGGCTTTACTTTACTTTACTTTACTTTACTTTACTTTACTTTACTTTACTTTACTTTATTCACTCCCATAACGTAAAGACTGGAAAATATTTTTCTCCAGTGAGTAAATATTAACGTGGTGCCGAAATGTATAAAGAGTGAAAGGGAGAAAGGAATGTGTTGACCTTTTCTCCTCTTCCTGACATAGCATGCTTTTACTCTCAAACCATTGACCTTATCCACTTTAATGACGGCTTCCCCTATGGCTGTAAAAACATATAGGAAATATTTTACCAGAAAGGTATATGTTTGCTGCTCCTCTCTGTCCACGGGTTGAAGCAGGGTAAGGTAGCGGGTGATGCCAGTGGGTGTGACGGTGAAGACTGAGGTATAGTCATTGAGGAAAAGGTGGAGTTCCGGATCTTTCGTCTTTGAAAGAAAACGCATCATTTAAAAACGGTGAGCACACAGTGAACTTTCAGTGTGTTGCCCGAAACTTAAGTTTTGAGATTTATTATAAATACACACCATTATACAAAAATTCCTAAAGCAAGAAAGGTATCCAAGTAGCATTAATTTACAGGCAGCCAAAGCCATACAACGACGTGGTCCACAGAATACTGAAGGAAGTGTTAGCACAGTTAAGGCGAAAAGGGAAAGACAGCAGAAAGAAAGACGAGGAAACAAGATAATTGAATGTACTTTTGATGGTCACTTAATATCAAATTGTCTATGCTTTATTGGCGCCAAGATCTTAGGAATAATAGGAGGAACGGAAAATTGGAGCCTAGAATTTCAGCTGTAAAATTTCACAGCCATTTCATTTTTAGTAATAAACTGAACATATGCATGCTTCTGTGCTACCCTCACTTTTAATGTAAAACAGGAATAAAAATTGGTGATGAATTATTCATTACCCGTAAATATTAGGCTTGCTTTTTTTTTTCCTGTCTCATTTTAATACTGTAGAGTTCTTCAAAGAAAAACAATATTTTAATTAAAATATTTCAGATGATTTGCTAGAAAATATTTATAAACTTAAGCACTCGTTCCTGTCAAAGAGCCTAGGGAAAAATTACACTATAGTTGATAATTTTTAAAATTTAGAGCTAAGATACTTAACATAGCATTGAAAATCCTTCACAGCCTTTGTACCCCCTCTCAATGGTAAGATATTATTCACTGCTGTTTGGAAAAGGGGCAGAAAGGCGGTAAGGGCAGCTGGAGATAATAAGTGTATTTTGGAAGTTCAGTGCTCTGGCCACTTATGAAAATGGGTGACACGGGAGAGGAAGTATGTTTACAGAACGTCACCCCTTTAAAATATTACCACAGTAGGCTGTAAAAGGTTTTTCGAGAACACTTTTTCTCACGCTTTTATTAGGTATTGATCGCAGAGCACAGGGAAGGAGATTGTCAAGTGGGCTGGTTTGGGGAGAATAAGACCTTGCATTTTAAATTTTCTATGTAGAGAGTCAACATAACTAAGAGTGCGTACACTTTGAAGAGCAACAAGCGTTCTTCAGTAGACTTTTCCCCTGTGCCGTGATTTATGTGGATTTCAAGTATCTTTGAGACGAATGCTGTTCATGTGAATAGCAACAAGGTGTATGTTCAGGTTTGTCTGTGGGCTCTTCCGTGAGCATGGTTTGAGGTTCAGGTTGGTGTTCGATTTTCGTCTCAGAAAAATGAAGGAATGCTATGGAGACTGGCTTTCTGTGTGTACTGATTTTTGAATAATCAAGTCCATGAAACCATAAAAATATGAGCCTATATTCTGCTATTTTCAAACCAGTCTTCTAGCTGGTGTTTTAGTATTTCGAGTCCCGTGATTGGCACTCCCTAAATCTGGGCTAAGATGACTGGTTAAAAAAAAAAAAAAGAAGTGATTCATGAAAAACTATATCTTGGCCCACATTCTTGAGAATTCTTCTTTTCTCAGCTGTATCAATGTTGATGAAATTCAGTTGTTAATTTAAAGGTGATCAAAAACAGTGAGTTTAGCTTCACAAAAAGTGAATGTCTGCAATTTTTCAGTGTTTATTTTCAATTTTATCAAATTACAGTGCTTTAAAATTAACATTATTTTCTGTTGCCTAGGTGTGTTACCAATATTCCTGCCTGACACAGTTTCCTCATGACTTCAGGTTCCTACGATGCTGGTGTGTGACCTTTGACATAATACTAGCTTAACAAATGTGTACTCCTTCCTTTTGCTTCGCGTCTTTCATTGCTCTCTTCTCTCTTTGTGCCTACATTTTCCTTCAACTTATTCCCTTCCACTAACTGCAGATTTGTGAGGTACATTCATTGCTATATTCTCATGTCAGCACTGTGATAATACAAGACGTCCGTGCATATTAACTTGTCTGTGTGACTGTAGTAAAATATGATTTATTACAAACGGCAGCATTTCCTCTGACTGATTGTATAAGGATACAGCGATTTTCCATGTCAAATGCTACTCATTGGAAATCAGGGTGCATAGCTCTCCGTAGACAGTAACACTAAAGAGATTCTGATCGTCTCAGAGCATCGCTGTCCTGAGTCTTGTACTAGAAACTGACTATAGATGAAGACAGTGTTCTAGGGCTGGCTTTCCCTGCCTTGCATGGACCTGAAATGTCACAGGACACACTTCGGCTCACGCTGCTCAGTTCTGCGATTAATCTCTTACTAAAATAGACTTTCCCTCAACATTTATGTTTATTTACAACAGGAACCCTTTATATCTTTATAAAAGATGAAGAAATGCTATTGCTGAATACCTCAGTGATCTTTCAAGAACAAACATTTAGGACTGAGTTAGAAATATTCAGCAAATTCTCACTTTACCATTAATATTTTAGCTAGATTTCAAGGTTAATACCAAACTATAAAATATGTTATGCTTTTGATGACTTGAATAAAAATGTCATGTAATTTCAGTATCAAATTTCAGTGCATGCATTTCAACACAAACAGCATAGTGCCTTAAGAATTTTACAGCTACAAGATTCGTCTTTCTTGACCAAAAACATTTTAAGTATGCCAAAATTTTGGCAAGAAACAATCTGTACATTAAATCGAATATTCCTTTTCTCATAAAGTCCAGATCTTCCTTTGACAGTCTGCATAATGATACCCCAGTTTTGGTTTTATAAGTATAATTAATGAATTTTTCTATCGTTACAGAGTCAAGCTCAGGAAATATTGGTGTGTTTGCAATGCCTCAGACCACACAAGAGTCTAGACTCATACTTCACAGAGTAAGATGTGAATGGACATATTTTCCCACATAGCCAGAAGATTTTATGAATAGACACGTGATACCCTGATCTTATTTTCTCACATGGCCCTTAGAGTTCATGTCTATGTGGCTTTAAAATGAACTTCAGTTTGTTGAACATAGAGAATTTATTGATGAATAATATTCTTTCTATCACACAAGACAGTTTATTTTACCCTAAAACACCCATGCAGCAAACACCAAAAAAATATGATTTATTAGTGTATTGCGTTGTAAATTGTTTGGGGTAGGGTAAAATAAACTCCAATACACTCACGAAAACAGGAAAAATCAACACAAAAATAAAGGTATATACAAAAAAGGTTTATACTTGAATGTAAAGTAAAACATCAAATAAACCTTCATTGTGTAGACCAGTGTTCATATGGCTGTTTTAAAGATTTGAAAGCAGACATCTAAATGAATCGAAATGTTATCACAGACATGCAAGATTTTATGCATTTCTGTATATGTGCACATAAACATGTCTATATATATGCCCATACACATGTATGCATATTCTGTGCTTATACACACATGACGAAGAATGACAGAAAATGACACGATCTAATATAACTTGTCAGTTTTAATTAATTAGCAGTGGAGGCCTCAAATACCTAGATTAGTACTTCTTCATCTCAAATTTAGAACCTTTTAGAAAAGAGATGCCATTATAAATTTACAACCTGGGGGGGGGGCTAAGAATCCATTAATATTTAAAGAAAACATTTAACAGATTGTTTCTTTGACTGAATTATCACTTACATTGTAAGTAATAATAAAGTTTTATTTGCAAAGAGAAAAAAAAACCTAGAAATGATCCACAGCAATTGGCAATCACAAAATCAAAACCCTGGTACCTACAGGAACTCCACCAGGTGGCACCTAGATGTGAATCAGACATGAAATAAACATGGTAAGGACAAAGGTCACACCTACCCAATGCACATAACACACAATAAGAAAGGAGTAAGATGAAGCACACTGAAGCAACATTGTCCATAAGATACACAATCATTTTCTTAGAAATTCGTTATATATACGAGAATTCTATTTTTATAAGAATCTACTTATAAGTACGTATACCCTGAAAGTATATCGACTGAGTATCTTAAGCACCAACACTCACATTGAATTGTTAGTGAATCACCATCTTCGAAAAAGCTAGTGAATAATATTTGTTCACTATCACCTCATTTGCTCTTACAGAGACATTATTCAGTTCAGCTTTTGCTGGATTTGCCCCTGGAAAGTTGGTAGTATCAGTTTGTTATAAACCTTGTGTATTTTTTGATGTTCACGCAGGAGGATATATTTCAAAACTACATTGGCAAGAGTATTGTTAAATGACATACATAACTGTTTCATATATGTGTGCATGCTGATCTATGAAAAATAAAGGCTGATATAAGGATGTTCTGTTCAGTAATTCTTCAGCCTTACAATGATGCTCAGGATGCCTTTTAATTCCAGGTCTGTACTATGAACGGCACTATATCTCAGCAAGCTTGGATTTTAGCTCTTAAAATCGTGTCTCACTTTTTCCTGGTAGAAGGAAGAAGCCAGATTTACCATCTATAGGAATGGAGCCAGCTGGCTTGACCATCAGCATGTGCCCTTGGCCTTGACTCTTCCTGAAGCAGCCCAAAGGAATCTGTTGCTCTAGTGAGCTTTGGCTTCTCTTCTTGGAGGCCAGTCTCTGTTTATATGGGTAACATCTGTTTGAGGTCACTCATGTCTGTAAGTCTTATTAGATCCCTGCCCTGTGCTGGCTATTTTCACTAATTATAGCCCCTCTCAGAGTGATATCCTGCTGGGTAATAAATACTGAGATAGCAAGTTAAAATCACACACACACACACACACACACACACACACACACACACACATACACGCACGCACATACACACACATGCAAGCGTGCACACACATTTTATAAAAACTATATATGCAAACTATGTATAACATATATAGTTAATGTAGATATTTAGAAATTCCTAGCAAAACTAATTCTTTGCTTAAAAAAGTGAAAGAAAAAAAAACCCATGTGATTCAGACAGACAAATATCCATCTTCAAACATATTAACATCTATTTCGTGATTTATTTTGTGTTCCCATAAATGAAGATTTAAACATAACGATGAGTTGTGAGGAAGTGGCTTCTGTAAGTCTGGTAAAGGATTATCTAAGAATCAGAGCTGCCTGACCCTTGAAAAGCAATCCAGTGAACACCTAAGTTAGTGAATTCAGTATTGTTGGAATATCTGAAGCACAAGCTTAATGTCCTCATTCATTTAACCATGTCTGAGTTTATTAGTAAATTAGAGAGTTATGAAAACCTACCAAGGGTTGGGAAAGTGGTATGAAGAGTAAACAAGTTATTATGGTATGGGAGGTTTCATAAAGGGATTTAAGCTCAGTGAGGGAAATAGACAGATATTACAAAATAAGAACTATATTAGAAAAATCCACCAAAAAAGGACATCCACCTCACCTTGGACCCTAAAAGAAAAAAATTCTTGAATGAGGAACCACCAGACGAAAATCCCAAACACCAGACATTGTGAGCTAACCAAAATGGCTCATGTAAAATAGAATGAAACACCTCAAGTCATACAAAGTGAAGCAAAATCATTTAGGTCAGATGTAGCTCGGCAAATGTGAGATGTGCCAGTGATTGCTCAAGGGAAGTGGGAAGTTTCAGAAATTGAAGATGGAAAATGTGCAGATAATAAGGTCCCACCCGCTGAGTGCATGAGACTGGGCATTACTCTACAGAGCAACACCCACCTCAAAGATCTCAAAGTTTATTAGCATGAAAAACTCAACTGGTTCATATTCCGATATAAAAGTTTGATTAAAAAATAACATAAAGTCCTTAGTAAGTGTCACACAGTCATGTCTTGAGTTTTTAGTGATCACTCAATGTCCTTTTTCAAAATAGGAGAATTTTAAAGGTGGGACATTCACCCTGTTTTCAAGCATATAGCAAGAACTTGACTGAACTGTTGTTAAAAATATGATTCGAGGTTAAAAGTAGAAAAAAAATAAAAGAAGAAGGATCAAAAAATTAGACAAGAATCAGAAAGGCAAGTGTACAGGCCAAGAGTGGAAGAGAACACATAGCAGGAAGAGGAGTGGGGGAGGGGCACAGGAGCTGTCAGTCTCAGCAGACAAAAGAAACCTGAATGTGTTTGACTACGGTGATGAACCTCTGTGCAATGAAAAATTTAAGGGCTAGAATGCCCTTAAATCCATCCGTTTAGCCAGATGTGATGTTTATGTTTGTCAATTAAAATTTCTACAAGTTAAAGCCAGGTGTTGTGGTACAGGCTTGCTATCCATGGTTTAAGAGGCAGAAGCAGAAGGATGAAGCATTCAAAGGGGACCAGGACAGCTCTGGGACCTCATGCTTCCTCAGGACTCCCCTCCACTCCCCTCTTCCACAGGGAGCTTGCTTTCCTTGCTAGTATTACATTAGCCCCTTGGCTACAAAGGTGCCACATTCATTTCTGCTATTATAAAAAAGGATGTCAAGCTTCCTCGCTCTGCTGCTCTTCCTCCACAACTTCCTAGAGGACTCTGGGTTGACTGGCATGGATTTTCTGTCTAGTCTTCATGTAAAATCTCTCTGGCCAATGGGATAAATCATGCTTATTTTGCCCAGCTGGACAGTCTTCCACTCATTTTGACAAGGTCAATACTACAAGACCAGAAGTCAGTCAGATGTGACCTGCAGGAATAGAAACCTCAGCAGCCACTAGTCAAAGCAACTCATGGGTCAGTGGCTCCCAAGGTGTCTTCTCTAATACTGTGCCATCACAGCAGAAGGAGATCCAAGGTGCCATTCTGGGCTGCTTTCAGAAATGGTTCTCTTTTCAAATGATTGATTCACATCTTTTTGTTTTCACCTTTTTGTTGTTTTTACTTGTGTGTGTGTGTGTGTGTGTGTGTGTGTGTGTGCGTGTATGGCATATGTATGTGTGGAGTGTGCATGCGTGTGTATGCAAACATACCTGCCTCTGTGTATGTGTGGTATACATGAACACACGCCCATGTATGGGTATACATTCACACATAGAGGCCAGAGGTCAAAATCTGGTATTTCTACCACACTGTACTGCTAAGGGTTCTTCATTGGTCTGGAGCTCACTTACTGGCTCGCGGGTGCTCAGAATCCTAACAAAGGTCTTCACAATTGCCAGAAAGCGTCTCCCTCCTTAGTCTTGTGTTTATGATTTTATATTAACTTTGTGATGCTATCGTTTTTGTTTTTGTTTTTTCACCACAAATCAAAACTGTTTTCAATTTATATTAACACGAACGCTCATCTTGGTGATTCAGCAAGCACCAAGTGAATAGCTCATTGGCCTTCATGTGCAGTATGGCTACGTTGGAGAACATCTATTACACTAAACACACTTTAAGCAAGTACCTCTGATATGAAATTAAACTACAGCACTAAGATCTGCCACACTGACCTCGTTTCCTTTCTCTCCGCTTAGTAGTCTGTGCAGTGCTACTTTGTACAACTTAGTATAAACACAGATAGAAGATCATGTCAACAAATAATCGTAGAAATATTTATGAAACTTACGTCTTCTATGTCTTTGTCCAGGGCTACAATTCTCAGAGGTGTGGTTAAGTTCACGCTCTCGGAGATGGTGGCTCCCACAGGGGCAGACTCAAGGATGTATCCTTGATAGCTGGGCATTGTAAAATATGGGCTCTGGTTGTTTTCATCCAGAATTTCAATATGTAAACTAGCAAAGGCAGGAAGTGGGTGGCCGTTGTCCTGTTCAGCCTGAAAGTTAAAGAAAAATTAGCTATGATGTCCTCTGAAACGACACTTTTCCTACCATAGGTATGGTCTTTCTTTACCCTAGGGTTCTTACAAAGAGTCAAAACTGCTCTGACAAGCATTAGGAAACATAAATGAAGGGCTAGAGAGATGGCTATGTGTTTGAGATCACTGGCTGCTCTTCCAAGGACCCAGGTTCAATTCCCAGCACCCACATGGCAGCTCACAACTGTCTGTAACTCCAGTTCCAGGTGATCTGGCCACCTCACATACCCAGACATACATTCAGGCAAAACACCGATTCACATAATAAATAAGTAAATCTCTAAACATGGAAAACATGAATGAGAAACCGAACTGGAGAGCCTTTATTGCTTAATCGTCTTTCTCCAAATCTGGTGTTCATTTCAGAAAATGACTACAGTAAATTACTTCAATGCTATACACACAATAAAGAGATAAGTGTGTTGGCACACAATTAAAAATACTGAAGTTGAACACAATTGAGTTGATGATAATTCAAGGATACAGATAAAAAGAAATTTGTCACCCAAATAAAAAAACCTACCCATCTTTTTGTCTTTTCAATGACTTCTTATTCCACAATTGGAGATCAACTGTCTGGCTTCCTATGAATGAGTATATACCCAAAATCATGTATAAAAATCCTAACCCAAAAGCTAGCAATTTGTGGGGCTTTGGGGACTGGTACCTTGTCAATGGTACACTATCTACCAGTGAGATTTTCCTCCCTAAGAAAGAGGCCACAAGTGGCCATGAGGAGGCTGGCCTGTCGTCTCAGCACTGCTAGAGAGATAAGAGCGCCCTAGGGAGCCTGGGCTGTACAGGAAGAGCAATCTCCAAAACCAAAGAAACAGGCAAGAGCCCTAGAAGAACCCTGGCTTTCTACCACCACGTGAGGGCACAGCACAGCAGTGCCAGGTATGAGAGGATGTAGTTTTGCTAGAATGAACCTGCCTGAGCCTTGTCCTCAGACTCCAGAGGCCGGAACCGTGAGAGATGCAGATCACTGGCAAGCCAGTGGGACTGTGCATTTTGCCATGGCCCAGTCCCAAGTATTTCTTTCACATACATTAATAGATTAAAGCTGCACTTATCATTCAGAAAAGGGCTTAGAAAAAAAAATCAGCTACCAGTGAAAGGGAAAATTTCACCACAACTTTTAGCACTTTATTTTATTATTTCTGGGCTGTTTCTGTGCCACTTCTGAAGGACACAGATAGGTAAGGGAAGAAAGGACCCCCCCCACTGAACCCTCAGGCCAGTGGAATTTTTCGTTACAAACATTGGGTTCACACGTGGCCAGCACACTGCCCTTGTGTCCCAAACAAGCTTTCCCTCCATTCTTCTTACTTAACATTTCCGTCAAATAAGAAGGTGAGCAATTGTAGAGCTGATGACACTACACTAAGGAAACTTCCAGGATTTGTTACTAAACGAAATTATTACCCATACAATCATTAGTGAATGGAAACCAAACTGCTGTGTAATGCATTGAGAAAACCTCCTTGCGTATCCTAACATGTCTTCTTGTCCCTACTTTGGTGTCAGTTCTTCTTTTGTACTGTTGTTTAGTGCTTTTACGTTATGACTTAACATTAGAATGCAAAACAGTCCTTGGCTTAAGGAGTTCTGAGATCCACTCCTCAATGAAGATGACCCCCGAATCGACCTGTGGCTTCTTCAAACAGAGGTGGGTGCGACTGACGTCATCAGTGCAGAGGTCACTGTACCTTCAGGGACCAGGATTGATTTGTGCCACATCGTGGGTGTTCTGGTAGCTTCGGTGATGTACATTGGATCTTTTGGAGATGACGGACGAAAAAAGGAGGCAGCGCACAACTGGAACACACTGCTCATCACTGTAGAAACGAACGCTTTAAACATAGGGCTCCCACCCAGCTTTATGGCCTGCTGGTGGCAGAGGTGCTCCGAGCCGGGCCTCTGGGCATTAAGCAATTCACACACAAAGGTCTTTCTGAACAGGATTTCTTTCTCTCTGCTTTATTCTTCTTGTCCTAATGGCTACTGAGTATTGTCCAGAGATAGCAACAATAGCATGACAATCCGCAAATTGTAAAATCTGTGTCCCCTCACCCAGCAAACATACATATATTTGTGGGGGGGGGGGATGAGGGAGATGACACAATTGCATAATAATGCAAAAGGTTTGTATTCCACATTCAGATTGTGTCATTAGTGATTACTACCAGCTGGGAAGCTGGGAAAACATGCATTATTTGCTTCACGAAAACAGAGGGATTCGGTGGGAAGAAAACTAAACTCAAATTAGAGTCTTCGGAACAAGTTAATCCCCACTTTCCACATAGCTTTGGAGAACATCATATGAAATTTGTACTGGTTGTTAAACACACACTGACTTGTTGTAATACATACTAACGCTTTGGATGCTCTTCCACCTTCAATTCTATTCATCAGACCCGTGTCTAATGACCTTAGTCCAAGCCCACAGTTTTATTCTTATGCCATTTGCCTCTAAATGTAAAACCATATACTTCTTCCCTGGGGAAAACTAAGAATGCTATAGGTCATGTTCAGTGCCACCCCATATTTAAGACACAGACAAGGTTGAGCTGAGATATCTCCAGATGCGTGAGAAACCGCACAAGGAAACTTTCTGTAGATTCCCTAAATCAACAGAACAAGAAGGAAAGGAAGAAGGATGGGAGAAACTGGTATAGGGAGTAATAGGAAGATAAATACTTCCTATTCAGTTAGAGTTAAAATGAAGCATTGAAAAAGCAACTTTGTCCTTTATTGGGCCCAAGTGTTCTTAGGACTCTGGCTTATGTTCTTCTGGTGCAATCAGAATGGTCGAGAGGTTTAAGAAAGAGAGGCGAGTGAAAACGGTAGCATTTAAAGCCGTTTGCTCTCATAAAGTAATGTTATTAACATAAATAAGTGTGTGTTTGTAGTTAAAAATAGAAAAGTATTTGAAAGCCAGATTTTGGGGTGCTGGGGGTGTGGCTCAGTGAGTAGAATGCTTGCTTTGCAAGCATGAGGAACAGTGAAGATTCCCAGCATCACTTAAAAAGCCAGGCTAGCTGTGAACTCTGAGGAAACCTTCTACCTCAGCCTCAAAAAGGCCGGGGTTACAAGCATGTTGTGCCACAAATGGTTTTTAAGCTCTTTCCATGCTGGGGAGTGGTGAGTAATTTAACAAATGGATATGATAAGCTTTTAAGAAGGTAATATGAAAGAACATTTAAATATGTCCCACAAAAAGAGAATAGATTCTCTTCCTATTATTCTAAGGAGTATTTTTTTAGTATGTGCGCCCGACAAAAAACAAACAAACAAACAAAAAACCAAAAAACCCTTTATTTTTAATATTGAACATGTTGGGTTTTTATTTCTTTTTTATCATTGTATTACTATGCAATAAAAAATAAAATAAAAATATCCATGTTACATTCTTGTTGTAGGCCCTTCCCAGTCTCACCTTTTCACTCTCTCCTTCCCCTCTCACTTTTTCTTCAGAAAGGGGAGCTCCCTTTCCCATCTAGCCCAGCTCATTAAGTTGCATCAAGACTGATTTTGTCCTTTCCCCTATGGCCTGGCAAGGCAGTCCTGCCAGGGAAAAGTGATCAAAAAACTGGCAAGTGTGTCCCTGTCCGATGCAGTCCCCACTTCCCTTACTAGAGAACACACATGAGGCCTAAGCTGCCCATCTGCTACATCTTTGTAGGGGGCCTAGGTCCAGTTCATGCAGGATCCTTGGTTGAAGCTTCAGTCTAGGCAAGCTCCTCTGGGCCCTGGTTAGTTTGCTCCGTTGTTCTTGTGGAGCTCCTGTCACTTCCAGGTACTTCTTCCCTCCCACTTTCCCTAAGATGCCCTACACATCACTCAATGTTTAGCTGTGAGTCTCGCCATCTTTTTGAGGTGCTGCTGGGTAGCACCTCTCAGAGGACAACTCTGTCAGGCTCCTGTCTCCAAGTTTAGCAGGGTATCTTTCATCGTGTCATGGGTTGGCACTCTGCGATAGGGTGGGTCATTGGTTGGGCATTCCCTCAATCTCTGCTCTGTCTGCTCTATCTTTATCATCATACATCTCGTAGGCAGAACAAATTTTGGGGTGAAGTTTTGTGGGTGGGTTGGTGCTCCCCTCCCTCTGCTAGGAGGTTAGTCTAGTTAGAGGATGTCCTCTTCAATCTTTATGGCCTCTGCTACTAGGAGTCTCTGCTTGAGTACCCCTCAAATCCTCCCAGGAGCCTACCCCGACTTAGTTCTCCAGCTTGTCACAGAGATTACCCCCACCTTCAGTTTCTCTTTTTTCTCTATAGGCTATCTGTCTTCTCGCCCTTTCTCTCCCCAGGTCTGATCTCCACCCTCTTAACTCTCTGTTCCCCTTCTCCTACCTGGTTCCTTCTCTTCAGCCACTACCTCTGTCCATTCTATCTCCCCTTCCTAGTGAGATTTATGCATCCTCCCTTGGATCCTCCATGTTGCTTATCTTCTTTGGGTCTGTGTCCTGTAGTATGTATATCCTGTACTATACGGCTAAAATCCACTTATAACTGAGTACATACACTGTGTGTGTGTGTCTTTCTGGGTCTGGGTTACCTCAGTATAGTTCCTTCCATTTGCCTGAAATTTTTATGATTTCTCTGTTTTTAGTAGCTGAGTTGTTTCCCTTTGTGTAAATGTGCCACAGTTTCTTTATCCATTCTTTGGTCGAGGGACATCAAGGTAGTTTTCAGATTCCAGCTATTGTGAGTAAAGATGTAAAACAATCCTGTACAATAATAGAACTTCTGGAGGTGTCTCCATCCCTGACTTCAACCAATACTACAGAGCAATAGAAATTAAAAACTGCATGATACTGGCATAGAAATAGGCTGGTTGATCAATGGAATCTAATGGAAGAGCCAGAAATAAACCCCCACACCTATGCACACTTGAGTTTTGACAAAGGAGCCAAAACTATACAATGGAAAAAAGACAGCATCTTCAACAAATGA